TTTCTTCCCTCCATTCTCAGAGAGGTGCCACACACTGGATTCCCCATGTTCCACTGACTCCAGAATTGTTTTATACATTTACTCTTTCTTGTGTCTTCAGGCCATTTCCTTCATCTAAGTTTCCAAACAGATCCTTAAAACAAAACCAGACTTTACAAACCACAATTTCTTGGCCCTACCATCCTACCCGAAGACCATTATATCAAGGTCATCCTTTACCATCAGTGAAAATTGATTGAAGGTGTTCTATATATTCTGATTTTTTCCTTCCCACCAACAGATGACATCTTAGCACTATTAGGCTTATGCTGTCATTCCTTCTGAGAAAGCTCTCACAAAATAACACGTGTCTCCCAATTGGCAATCGTGTTTCTGCCTTATCTCCCCTGCTGTCTCTGTAGTCTTCACCTCTTCCTACTACATGGGACTCTCACTTTCTTTGGTTTCTTGTCATCCTTTTCCCTTTCTAGTCTTCTGACCGTCCTTTCTTTTCTTCTCTTGCTGGTTCTCTTTTCCATCTGCTGTTTACAGATCATTTCTGGGGTTTCGTCAGTGCTTCTCTTCTCATGCATGGTTTCCCTGTGGGATCTTGTCCAGTGGCAATGTATCATCTACCATCCATTTGCTAGTGATGCCAGGTTCTATTGCTCTTGAATCAACTTCTCTCCTGAATACATCAGCCAGGACAGGTGCAAATCCTTTACTTGAAAAATAAAATTATATTCCCTCACAAAATTTAATCCTCATGATGTATCGTCTAGGCTAAAAATACTGGGATCATTCTTAGCTCAGTTTTCTCCTTTACTCCCTACATTCGACCAGTTGCCAAGTTCTACTGCCACCATAGAAATGTCCCCAATAGCTCATTCTTTAATTCATTGTTGATGCCTTAAATCTCATTAAGCATTCTATATAGAGAACCTACTACTCATTTGCATCTTAGTTAAGGAAACATACATATTATTGGTACCTATTGTGTGGATAGGTGACACAAGGTACCTTGGAGGGATAGGTAAGGACATTTACCAAGCTCTCCTATTTTTACTAATCTGAGCTATTGTAGATTCGTCACTTTGCTCCCTACTAGCAAATCTCCTCTTGTACATCATCCTTCATATTGCAACTATTTTTCCAAAGAAACAGTGTAATCATTTTTGTTCCACTGGTTGAAAATATCTTCTGGCGCTATCCCCTAAACAGAAACTCATAATCTGGGACAGTGGATGGGTTTTCAGAGTCCATGAAATCCCATGAAAATAAATAATAAACTGTGGGTGTACGTATATATGTGTGCATTTCTGGAATAGGGTCATCAGATACACAAAGTAGCACCAACCTACTTTATACAACACATGCTTCTTATGGTCTGTACATGCAGTTGTAAAGGCCATCTTTTACTTATTAGCTTCTCTTCCTCCTCCTCCCCATAAGATGAATCATCTTTCAGGCACATTAAACTCTTCACCTCTTACTAAATATTTTTAAGAGCATTTGTAGATGCTGTTACATAACATTCTATGCATTGTGGAGATTAATCAGACTATTCCTATGAGGAGCTCCAGGCATGTTTGTCACTAGATTCTCTCTCTCTTATTAATTTTTTGTCTAGTTTTGAAGTTGTACTTTGCTAAGTGTATGGTATAACTCTTATCTTCTACAACTCTATGATTATTCCCATTAACCCTGCTTTTCTGATGAGCGATTAGCACATCTTATAAAAAAAATCTTCAGCCCTTTGCTTAGTAGATTGTCTAATGCTTAAAAGTTGCTCAGTATGTTAATTAAATCAATTAATGAATATAAAAGAAATTTGAAGGCTATTTCTTAACCAAGAACATATTTCTAACATTAATTCAAATGGTAGGGTGGGGGAAGTAAAGCATAGGGGAGTTTAGCGGGAGAAAATGTATTTTAGGTAAAGAAATAAATTCTTGAGTTTATAAGTTTGAGGCTAAGCTTGATTATATATTTTCTGTGTGGGAAAAACAATAATCATCAGTTAACTAGTGGAAGAAGATAACTGTGCTCTGGTTGGATTCCCTGCCATTTGTTTTAATCCTCTATCATTCCACAAATAGATTTTATTAACTGCGCTATATACTACTTGTTAAAGAAAACATTTTTTGAAAGTTATCCATAAGTGATTTGAAAACCAATAAAGAAAATACTGTAGTAATACAGGAATAAGGATTGTTAGCCTGTAGTAAAGCCATGGAAATGATGAAGATAACACAGTGCCTAGACATTTACAAGGAAAAGTCCTTGTTTTAAGTCCCTCTTTCCATGATGTGTAATTATGGACTGTTTATGGGGACGGTGAAGAACAGATGATTTACATAAAGAAAACCACCAGTGGTGGTTGGATGTGAGAACTGATGGGCAAACTGGAGATGATACCACCATCAATTCCCCTGCAGTGCCCATGGTATTCGGGTGCAGGAGGAAGCGCTTGCGTGTCTGAGGGAGGTAGGAGCCGGCATGATGGGACCTTTTTTGGACCCTGTGAAAGACTCAAAATATTGGATACAAATTAGAAACTCTGAGTAACTTGTTTTAAAATGAAAATAAGTGACAAAGTTGATACATGAACATCAGTAAATCTAAGACTAAATAGTAGGTTAATGTGATAGTCATCACACATGTATCATTTATTGAGCCTTTATGGTATGCCCAGAATGGTACTAAGCATAATCTCCTTTAATGCATAATGACCTGATGAGATAGGTACTGTTATTATCCAAATTATACAAGTGAGGAATCCGAGGTTTTCAGAGGTTAAGCACCTCGCCCCAGATAACATTAACTAGAAAAGCGGAGCAGGGACTTGGATATGGAATTTCTATCCCAACCTCCATGTTTTCAATTAGTACCATTATGTTGTTTCCCTTTTAGGCTATTAGATTGATATTTCTACAGTTCTACTTATTTTTATGATTTTAACATTTTAATGTATTTATGTTGACTTACAAATCTTGATATTAAAGATGACATCCAGCCCCCTTCAGAGAGACAATACACAAGTGTATCTGTTCTCTCGCATTGTTGAGAGTTTGCCTTCAACTAAGCTTTCATTTGAGTAGTAGTATAATTACAGTTAACACAGAACTGTATATTCCATGCTCACTAATATTTGAACTGTTTGTAAAGTCACTTTAATAGATTTTCTCCTCAATTCTGTTTTTAACTTAATATTTCTAATATAATTTTTGTCAAATGGCATTTTAAAAATAGAGCATCTAGTCTTTTCTTGAAAAAACATTTTGGTTTGTGCAATCAGTCTGTATATTTGAATTCATTCTCATTCCAAAGTTTCTTTAGGACTAATTATGACTGTGTGCGTGCGTGTGTGTGTGTGTGTGTGTGTGTGTGTGTGTGTGTTTGGAGTTAATAAGCTTAGATACTAGGGGGGAAAACAGTGAAAAGATTATGCCACAGATAATTAATAAAAATCAATTAGTTTGTTAATGAGTACTCTGTCAGTACCCAAGGTGGCAGAAACCAGCTGGGGAAAGAAATCAGGATCCCTGAATAGGACATTTAGAATGCCTGAGTCCTGCTGAGAATTGGAGAGGAAATAACTATAAGAAACGCTACTTGGGTTAAAACTGGCTGAATTTTCTCTTGAGATTGCAATTCCTCTAGCTAATAAATCTAGTAAAAAGTGATTCACCTTTAGTGTATGCCATAAAGCATTTTCTGCGGCCTTAAGTACGTTGCTTGCTGCCCTGTATTAAAAACAAACCCATAGTTGTAAATGTCAATGACTAAGAATATTAGAGCCCTTGCATCTTTCTTCTGTTACTAGAAAGGCTGGAAGCACCCATTACCTCTTCTATGACTTTTTACATTGTATTTATATAAATGGCAAAAGTCAAACATGTGCTGACAGGGAAATACAAAATCTGTCTTCCAATGGTCCTTGGACAAAAAGGCAGAAAATTCCAATGATAGCAATTGACCTTCATAAAAAGTTTTCCAGAACAACCCATTCTTCCAGTTATTAATTATATTTGTCTCAAGATTAGTCCTTTACTACCATATGTAATTATGGATCATTTATGGGGGCAATGTGGAAAAGATGATTTACAGAAAAGCAAACTATTTCTATTTGATACACCTCTTTAAGGATTTAGGAAGAAAAAAATACAGGCATACCAATAGACTCGTAGCTTTTATATGGATGTGTGCAAGTGTGTGTGTGTATGTATATATATATATATATACATACACACACATATATTTTCAATACAAGTTTTCAGTAATTTCCATGACCCTAAATAAGACTACTAATTGGTCTCCCTTTTGGATAAAGAATAAACTTTAAAAGATGTTTTCAGTTTGGGTAGCTCTTATAATGGGAGGGTTTCAAATTGTAAGATGGATTTATAGTATAGAATAAGATAGAAAATTTCTGCTGAAAAATTTATCTAATAACTCCCTCTGAATATGAATTAGAGTCCTTAGGGGTAAAAGAGCATTGATTTGACTCATTCAACTTTTTAGCTTTCATAGATGATGTTCCTTTTAATAACCTGCAAAATTTCTGGGTAGTGAAGGAAGATAGCTCACGCATTGGTAGATGGGGAAAATAGACTGCAGACAATGAAATGACAGGTCATTTAAGACGAGTTTTAGTTAATAAAATAAGTTAATTCTTTTTTCCCTCAAATATATGATGCTCTTTATAATATGCAGAACTATGTGCTTAAAACCCACATTTATACAATGAGCAAAACTGGTATCTAAACTCATTTAAGTAAATCAAATTGGTTTCCTTTTTAGCACTCTCTTAATATCAAGATATTTCCTCTTTTTTCCTTAAATACATTTTTAATTTTCTATGAGGCAATAATATTAATTTCAGTACCAGAAATATTAATTTCAATATGCATTATATTTCTTTTAATGCATAGGACTTTTCAAATGTTCTGGGTTCATATAAAATGCAATTATACTTTATTTCAAAATATGTTGAAAAAGAAACACATCTTACAGTCATTTTAGGAATGTAGGGATAGTCCCATATGAACAAGAAATTCATCTGTGAAGAGGCAAACTTGAAGATCACATATGTTGTTAGATTATCATTTGTCATTTAACCTTTGTTATTCCATCAAGAAATTGAATAACATTCTTCATATTCATTAACTAGTTGTATGATATTTTTCATCAATTAAAAAGAAACACTTTTTTTTTTCTGAGGCTCTTTCTTTGGTCCTGGAAGCCATGTGAACTCAAGGAGACAAAGTGATTTGGCCCATGGGGTGCTGGGGGTCACCATCTAACCTCATACAGAGGTATATGATCCCATTAAATGGTAAGCCTACCTCAGACTTATCACAGAACTAAAATTTAATACAGAAAATTAAAATTTTAGCTTCTGGAATATATTTCACTTTTGGTCTTTGGGTAACATATTTTACATAGTCAGTATCTGATTTTACACCTTCTTTTTAAAGATGAGGAAATTGAGGCCCTAAATTACTTATTAATATTGCTAGACTTGTGATTGAACTAATGGGCTCTGACATGGAAATATTGAAGTTTAAATGTCTGCTCTATCACTGAATACTTGGACGAAGTATTTAACCTCTCAGCATCTTGGCTAGTTCATGTGAAAATAAGGATGATGATCTTGAGTATCTCATAGGGTTTTGTATTGATTAAGACAAGTTAGTTTTTAAAATAACTTAGAACAATGCATAGTACATAATCAGTGCCATACAAGTGTTTACAAAGTAAATCATTTAATTGTGTTAACGCATTCAAAATCTATACTCTTCCTTTGAAAGATTGCCAACCAAGGGAGCTGCCGGAGATAATAAACATTTATCTTTCATTCAGTATTGGATGTGCCATTGTTAATTCAAATTGTGGGACCCTTAGCATTTGCCAGAATTAAGGCTAGTCAGTGGAGATTATTAAAGAAAAGATAGCCTGTGCCTCCAGAGTAACATTCTAGTGGAGGCGATTGAAACACACATACATGTAAATAAATAAAATACAGTGTGACTGTGCTAGGAATCGTGCTGGAAAAGTTCTAAATGTTAACCTGAAAGAAGGCATCACAAAGCAGTTACAGTAGTGCTTGAAATATTAATAGAAATACTTTCAGAGAGACAGAAGAAAATATTATCTTCAGTAATGCCAACGGAGAGGATGGGTGGGCCTGACCCTGCTTTCGCGCGCTCTCATGCTTTCTCTTGCAGGCTCCAAGTTAGACGAGCAGCACAGTGTGGGACGTTCCCACTCTCGCGCAGACAGGAAGAGCAAGAGGGGAAACTAAACCTTCGGCTTCTCTTCAGATCTGGCATGTGCCACATCTCTGCATTCTGTTAAAGGAAATCTCATGGCCAAGCCTAAAATCAATGAGCTGAAGGTCAAAAATATACTACATACTTCTCTTTCAAAAGACATACTAGAGGTCACATGGAGAAGAATAAGGATTATAATCTATGGGAAGAAAGGGAGGGAATAATTGTGAACAATAACAAACTATCACAGGCATTTAGGGAACTGGGGGATTTGGTGTGGTCGGAGTGAAGACTATAAACTGTGTAGTGGATAGGAGGAGATAAAATAAGAATGAAAAAAATGCTGCCAGATTATGAAATTACCCATGTAACTTCGTAAAGCATTTTGATTTACCCATGACCAGAAATACATTTCTACAAACATGACCTTGGCTATAGAGTGGAGGAAGGCATAGACAAGGAGTAGCGGTAAGTTAAGGGCTGAGAAATAATAGTAGTGGAAGGAATTTACAAATTTAGGGTATGTGGGGAAGGAGGCAGAACCAACAAAATCAGACCAGCTGTGGAAGGTGACAAGTAAGGATTTAGAAAGAAGTTCTAGCTTGGATGGCTAAGTATAATGAGGTTGGATGAGCCGGGGAACATGGGGAAAAAATCAGTCATTCTTAGCAGAGATGAAGAGTGGGATTATTCTGTCAAGGTTCATGATGTAAACAAGGGAGGCTTCAGAGACTGGAGGTTCTTAGCTGACTGCACAAAAAAAGCAAGTGGCTATAGTGAAGAGTAGTCCTGGCAAAGGGAAAAATCTGTAACAGATCATGATGGTATTAAAAATCACGCTATGCTCAGAAGTTTTAAGATAGTTATGGCACATAAATGATAGTTATGATCAAAGAAAACAGCAAATATACTTGAGTCTTAGGGTTCTAGTCCATTATCTTTCTCAGTTTTTCAGCTTATGAGAGTACATGCAAACCGAGAATGATGTAAATGCAATAAAAAGAACATGGTATGAAAGGTCTTTACTAATTGATTAAGCTCAATAAAGTTAAAGGCTCACTTGAAATCAAGTTAAATTCATAAAATGAGTTATGAAAATGATAAATGATCAGAAGAAAGTATTATATAACTTTAAAGCACCTGTTTGTAATTTTTGAACATAAATGCTTTGAATCTTTAGCTTTGCTGTTTTCTTAAATTGTTCATTTTATTTTAGGAATGCAGGAATAGTCACATAGAAATTGGTATCCATAGTTAGTCTTAAGCTTCTATATTAAGTTAGCCTTCACGATTATGTGGCTTATTTCATGTTTACTTATGTTAATATAACCAGAGTCAGTATTAATACTGTAAATATCTCATGCTATCCTCATACAATGCTAACAAGAAATGGAATAAAATTTTGTAAAAATATTGTCAAAGCAGATTTTTCAAAGTAGTCTAGCTGTCTACTTTGGATAGAAATGAGAAGATCAGCAAGTTCCTAATGTCTTTAAAACAATCTAGATTTAGATTCTTAACATTTCCAGAAATTCAATGAAAAATTACTCAATTATTAACTTCTTGAGGTCTGACCCGAGTTTTGTTGTAAGCAATTAAACTCATAAAACACGAAATTATAAACCATGGTGTTCAAATATTCACAAAATACTAGTGAATTACATATGTTCCTTTTTGCTCAAAACTACAAGGGAGAAAATTTACATAACAGGATACTGTGTGCTTTGCATCTAAGCAAAATAGATGAGTTTAAATTGCTTTCAAAGTAGGTTAACTGGACAAGATACCATTCTGTAGTCTAAAGATAATTGTTTCTAGATACCCAATATTGATAGAATTCCTGAGGCCTTTTGCAGATACAGTGACTGAGGAGTTCCATGGGGGGAACTAGAAATCTTACAACAGTGTCTCAGGTGATTCTTATGAGATGAGTTCTGGAAACACTGATATGATAAATCACCACTTGCTCCTTAATTCTCCTTTTCCTTTTTACTTCTGTTGCTAGGTTATTAGGGTTAGAATTTACATGAATTAAAGGTCATTCCTGAGGGCACATCTTAGCTGCTATAATTATCTGAGAAATAAGTATAACTCTTGATTAATAGAAACTTGATCTCTAGGCCCACTCCCTTACTGCTGGGTTATTTTACAGACAATGCTCTGATTTATTTTGGGTAGACACTAGCCACTTAAATTTCAAAGGTGAAATTGTCTGGTTCATGCCTAAGTACACGCTGTATTGCATTATAGTTTATAATTAGTTAACTGCACACACGCAATAGCTTATGCAAAACCCTGCTATTTATGTATTTCAAAATTAAGAATGATTCAGATTTTTAAAAAAGAAAAATGGAACATGTGCTGCATAATACATCACATACTGAGTGTGGTTGGGCCTCTGCTCCATAATAAGTGGAGAAAATTGTGTGCATGTGCACATGCACATGTATATACATGCATGCCTTCCTGTTGTAGGTCAGGTTCTTGCTGAGTAAGTCTGCTGTGTCAACCTTGAAGAATCTTGTGTTCTTTACTTTTCTTTTCCCCTTTGGAATATCAGCTTACACACTGTCACCTATATAATAGTAAGAGAGGATAAGAGGAGTGAAATGAGTGAGTGCCTTAAAGTTTTCAAAGTTTCGTTCATTCATTCAATAATCGAATCTTTGAATCCCTATTCCTTCTTTGTGCTAGGGATTCAATGTGAAGACTAAGGTCATGGTCTTCCTTTTATTATTGACATGATGTGATTTTTTTTTTGAACTTGAAAATGTATTCCCTTATTATTTGGGAAAATACAGCTATGTCTCCTCTGGGATGTCCGTTTTGTGGTATGTCTTTCCAAGTTTGATCAGGATTAATGAGCTGAGACTTTTCCTGGAGACTTTTACCTTAGTTTTAAAAAGACTAGGAAAGCCCAAGGGCCCCATCTCCTGTGCCAGTAGCAAGAGCAGTAGCAGGTTTTGTTGAAATTGATTATGAATGTCCCCAGCTACTGGCAAAACTGAAGTACAGCCTGTCCATATCCATGTGAGGATAGAGTAAAAATTAAAATGAAAGCCAGACATGGCAAAGGTAAAGTGAAAGATTTTGCTATTAGGCTAGTGCTTTGATCATAAAGATTCAAACGTATCTATCACCCTACATCTGTGAGAATGTATTAAAAGGTTAATGAAGTTTTGTACCTTTTTGGACTTATAACGAAGTTGTCAGGTCAGCAAATATGAAGAATTTTTGTACTGTAGACGATCCTTGGAAATTCCCTGGGGGAAAAAATGAGATGCCTTTACGATTTATTTCAGAACATCCAGTATCTTAAAACTGTTCTACATGATTTTGATGCCATTTCAGAGGAACTATGTAGAGCTAATCCTGTTTAACAAGAAATTGGGAAGACTCAAGGAAATCCCTTATGTTAGAAATGAGGACAATATAGTATTCTGATTTATATACAAATTATAGACCTTTGAATCAAATACTCACCATTTTAATAATTTCAGGGAGACAACTGCTTCAGAGCAGGCTGCAGCATAGGCTCATATTGTAATACTGTGTGTGTAAAAGTGATCCTGCCATGGGTTAAATGAGCAGAGCTTGAAGTATTATTTTTTTAAAAAATTGAAAGGTTGTGGCAGTAATAAAAAGGTTGAATGGTAATGCCTCTAATTGAACAGTAAGGCTTCTTCCCTATTAAGTCACTCTTTCATCTGTCTTTTTAATTATTTCATTATCATTTTGTACTGCAGTTCACAATGAAATGACCATTTGTGTTTAAGTGAAAGCTAATTATTAGGACTGAATTATTGTGCAGTTTATTGATCCCTATGGTGGATTAAGGGCTTTAAGTTCGTCTAGACAGAATAGTTAGCAAAATGACAAAAGGAAACATATAAGACCCTTGGGAAGAATCCCTATGCTCCATAAGCAATTAATGCCTGCCAGGTAATGGAATTTAAGTTTATACTAAATCCAGCAGAGCTTTGACATTTCAACTGCCTTATAAACACATTAGTCTAATGAATTAAGACTTATGAATTGTGTTTAGACACAAGTAGGAATAGTAAGTCCAGGATACTTTTAGCCATCCATTGATTGAATGAAAAAGACATCATTTTCTCTCTGAATCTGATGAAAAATGAAATGTGTTCTTCTTTGTGTTTATCTCTGTTCATTCTGTTCTCTGTTAATGGATGTGTATTAACACTTTCTATTTCCCAGACAACACTAATCTCCCTTAATTATGTGAAAAGAATACAGTGATAAACCAAGAAAATATATATATATATAGTACTGCTGACTAAGAAGCCAAACAGCCCATTCATCTCAATCCAGTGCCAGGTAATTTTTCAAGCAGTCTGTCATGGTGATGAGCAAGCCCCAGTCCAACCTAATGATACAACCTATTGCTGTTATTTATAAGAGCGTTTCCTTGGGTGGACTTTGAGGCGATCTTATTCAATCCTTCAGTTCTGTGACTTTTTCCCTAAAGTGCTCTGTGTTCAAAGCTCTACTGACAATATGGCGTAAGTTAAAGTTTTTGGAAAGATGGCTAATGTTCTTTGATAACAAAAAGATTTTGGCAGCAACTGTAGGAAACAATTACAAACCGATTTGGAATCAGGGTGTCATTACTTTCAAGTTTCAAGTTATTTTTCTTTCCCACCTCCTTTTTCCAGCCTTCCTGAAAAATCTCTTTCAGTGTATCAGCCATGACAACTTAAGGGTCAAATAACAAGTATGTAAGTGATATGCAGTAAAAATCTGGCACATTTTACCTAGATTTCTCTGAGTTTGAAACATTTTTACGCTATTAGTATCTTCAAACATCTTAAGGACAGGCTTCTGTGTGTCTTAAAAATATGTCACATGAACTATTCAATGAAGAGGCACCCATATAGATAGCCAGAGGCACAGTTTAAATGTTAAAGTATATTTATACAAAACATATTTTGGTACTCATCATGCAGGTTTGAATTAAGTTGAAGGCATTCATATGCACAAGATGTAATCTATTTAGCTATTGCAAAAATGTTTGCTTCCATTATATTTATGCACAATTTTATTGCTTGTATTTGACAGTGCCAATGTAGCTAGTTTCATAAGCAAGCATAAGTTTTTATAGCAATGATTATGGACTTTTATGGTATTTAAACTAGATTAATCAGTGAAGTATGATAAAGTTGAAGGATTAAACAGACTGTGCACTTAAATATAAAACACTAATGGGGAAATCTTGCACGAGGCAATATTTGTTATGAAAATATAATAAAAGGATAATTGGTGGGGTTCTCTTTCTAGGAAAAAGATGGGTTTTATCAGCCTAAGAAGTCAAATTAATGCCTAGGGAAATAGGACATTCTTATATGTAGTTATGGTGCCACCTACATGAGTCGTTTGATTTCTAAAACCTAAAATGAGAAAAAACTTTCACCTTACATGATGTCACTATATGGCTGAGTGGAAAATATCCTAAAGAAAAACATTCCATGCATTTTTGTACTTTTATCTTTGTAAAATTAAATATATATGCCCTTGGATATGAACATTCAAATGTTGATTTACAACACATTTACATGATTAGAAGACTTTACTTCCTGTCTTGAAAAGCATTCACTCCTATAAAAAAAGAAGTTATAAGCTATTTTTCAGAATGCTTGAAATTTTAATGCCTTAACTACATGGGTGGGCTTAAAAGTAAAAGTTTAACCACTGTATTGTACATGTAAAACCAATATGAGATTGTATATCAACTACACTTCAATAAAAAAAGAATACTGTTACTTGTATTAGATATCTCTTAATGCATAACAAATTAGCCTAGAACTTGGCAACTTAACATAGCAAACATTTCTTATCTCATAGTTTCTGTGGGTCAGGAATCTGGGAACAGCTTAGCTGAGTTTCTCCGGTTCAAGGAGACCCAACCTGCCGCAAGGGACTCTAGTGCCCCCTAAAGTCTTGTCCTTCTCCCAACTCACTCATATGGCTTTCGGCAAAGTCCAGTTTCTTGCTGGGTTTTGACCACAGGTCTGCCTCAGTTCTTTGCCGAGTGGACCCCTCTGTAAGGCAGCTGACAACACGGCAACTAGTTTCCCTTGACTGGAGGCAAGAGACAGTGACCACCCAAGATGGAAGCTACTGTTTTTATATAACCCACTATCAGAAGCAACATCCCACTGCTTGTGCCAGGTTCTTTTGTTAGAAGTGGGTTGTTATGTCAAGCACACTGAGGGGAGAGGACTGACGGGGGTGCACTGTGGGCCCTTTTCAGAGGCTGCCGCCCCCAGAGCTTATGGCCCAGCCAACAAGGCAGAGTGTGAACCAGAAGAGCAGGACACCGGGTCACAGTGAGTGTGCACAGAGTGCACTTGGAAGTAATGACACCCAAGAAGGATCTCTTGACTGAGTGTTCTAGGTGGGCTTTACAGTGGAAAAGATGATCACAAAAAGTTTAGAAAGAGCAGTGGCCAGCAGCATATGTGCGAGGGTGAAAAAGAGCATTTGTGGAAGGGGAGTATGTAAGGAGGCTGGCAAATAAACTGCCGGTTGATTGTTAAAGCTAGAATACCGTCTCTAGGAAGAGGAAGGGTGGGAAATGAGGCTTATGAGGTTCTTGGCTGCTACCTACCTATATATGTTAAACTTGGGTTTGAAATTTATCCTTAAAATTGGGGGAGGTATTGAAAATAATCCTGATCTGCTTTGTTTTTAGAAAGAACACGCTGGCAACAAAGCAAAGAATAGATTTGCAATACAGCAAATGGTTAGGAAACTATTATAGAAAAGTGACAAAAAGTTGAACAAAGGCTCAGTAGTTGTGAAAATAGAATGACATGATACAACAGCTACTAGGAAGGTAAATAAAAGCTAGTGTTAATTGGATATAATATGCTAAAAGGGGATCAAAAGTATATCAGAGCAAAGAGGCTGATACTACAAAAAGTCATGGAAGGACACTGATAGGATAAAAGATTTTCTATTCTATAGATAAGCCTCTGTTAATAATAAGGTCTCAGATAATGGATAATAGGTGATTCATATTCCAAGAAACTGTTAAGCAGTAAATAATTGTCTGTTTATTGCACACCTTCATTTTCATTCCTTCGTTCTTATAGGAATTAGAGTAACTTTAGCCAGCTTCATTACGTGGACATAAAAAGTGTGTAAGAATGAGACAGAATTCCAGAGACCCTAGCCTTAGGTGAGCACCCAGGTGTGGAATGGTGTCAACTCTGACCAGAAAATTGAAGCACACATACATCCTTGGAACTAGAGAAACTAACATGCACCTCCTGCTAAACCTACGTTCTCCAGATGTAGAAATAATGAATGAAAATATGAATTTCCGGGCAAGTAATAAGTTCATTGTTAAATTGTGCCTGTTAGTCACTATATCTTTACTTTAAATGATGTTTGTAATAGAATCAAGTAAAGTGTTACTATGCTGTCAAGTAACGATAACAAAATTGGCCTGAAACTTTATAGTTTCTTTAAGAGAACTCAGATGGTATCCATTGTCTTGTATATTTTACAGAGTATGTTGGCACTTTACCAATATACTCTGTTCTCGAAGATTGGAGTATGTGAACCTCAAAAAAGGATGAACTACATTCTTTGCTGTTGAACAAAAACATTGTTAAGTGACTGTCCTGTATCAAACCAGAACTGTAAACTTTTGGTCTTGAAGTACTTTACATCATTGAGTCAGCTCTTTAATATGGATGTGACAATGGCATGCACACAAATAAGGTCAGTTAAACAATGAACCTAATAATTGTCTAGAAACTTACACAGAATTCATAAGGTCTTTAATCATGACACAGAGAAAAATCTTAAAAAGAATATACTGTTAATTAAATATTAAGACTTTTCCTTCTTTATTTTCTTTAGGAAAAATTGACACTTCCTAAATATTTAATAAAAAAATGTCAAGCATATGTAGTTACATGTTTTATAGTCTTGCATGAGAAAATGAAAAAATATAGAATAAAAAATATCCAGGACTAGAGTTGTGCATCTCGGATTTGAATCCTGGTTTAATTGCTTATAGCTAGAGGATTTGGGAGTAGTAGCTGAGGGATACTGTAACACTCAGTGTAGTCATCAGCAAAATAGAGATAATAACAGTATTTCACAAGGAGGTTGTGCAGCTTAAATGAGAAATTTCTTGAACAGTAGTTAACTCAAGTAAATATTAAAGGTACTTAATAAATTTCAGCTACTATATAATAAAATTTCCTTTCAGTAATATTCTTGATTTTAT